TATAAATATAAAATATGCTTAATCATCAGAATAAAATTGGATAAAATTGAAATACATTGGAATAAAATCATATTAAAAGCTGATAAAATCTTAATCATTGAAACAAAAATCATGTTTGTGTTGATTGTGGTTTGATATTTTAATAAAAGCGGAAGATTTTATTTAAATTATATAATTTCGCAATAGCAATGTTTGGTGGCATAAATAAGATTATCTTATAAACAATTAAGTTTTTGCGATGTTTTTACATATATTGGAAAGCGTTGATTTATATACATTGAATTACAAAATAAAAGTAGTATACTTCTAGATAATAATTCTGATCCAGATATTAATTTTTATAGTAACAACAAAGTATTTCTAAATAATTATACTTTATATTATGACGCTACATCTGAAATCATAATGCAAGGACTAGATGTAAATTCATTTTCAATTTTACATTTAAATATTAGGAGTTTTTCAAAAAATTTTGAATTATTTAAAAAAATTTTATGCGAGGTTAAATTTGATTTTAAAAATTATTAGTCTCATCGAGACATGGTGTAATGGTGAACATATAGAGAAAAATACAAATTTTCAGCTACCAAATTACAAAGTCATTCATCAATTTAGAGGGTCTGGGAAGAAAGGAGAAGGTTTGTGTATATTTATAAATAATTCTTTATTATACAAGCTTAAAAAAAATTTTTGCTCCACCGCTAATGATTGTGGATCACTATGTGTGGAAATAATAAATAAAACCTCAAAAAAAATATCATCTACGTTTTATACAGACCACCTTCCGGCTCAATAAAACAATTCGAAAAGCACATTAAAGATATAATTAAAAATAAATTAAGCAAAAATAAAAGGATTTATTTTATAGGTGATTTTAACCCTGACCTAAACATGAGTCATTTAAATGCAAATATAAATAATATTTTAACGTCATATATCAGAAAGGCTTTATTCCACTAATTAATAAACCCACAAGAATAACTAGAGAAAGCGCAACTATATAATAGTTAACTAGAGAAATGATATGAATAACTAGAGAAAGCGCAACTATATGATCAAATAGTCACCAATGAATTAAAATCAAAAATAAAAACAGGAATATTTAAATGCGACATTTTAGATCATTTCCCTGTATTTCTTTTCTCACAAAAATGTAATAACATTTATGCACAAAAAGTTAAAAAAAAGTACGCTAAATATAAATGAAAAATCCATGGAAAATTTTAATACTCTTTTATCAGATTCAAATTGGGATGAACTTCTTGATAATGAACACGCAGATAAAGCATACGATAAGTTTATTGATAAATTACAACAACTTTACAATTCGGCTTTTTCTGTAATTACAAAATGTGTGAAAAAAAAAACATTATTAAATCCATGGATAACGCCTAGAACTATAAAGTTGTCGAAAAAAAGCAACGGCTTTATAATAAGTTTTTAAAAAAAAATTTTAATAATGAAACTAATTACAAAAATTAGTTTAATTAGTTTAAATTAGAAATGTGTTTTTTTCAAAAATTCAAAGAAATATTACTATACGGAGCATTTAATAAAACATAAAAATGATCCAAAAAAACCCTGGGACACAATTAAGGAAGTAATTGGCAAGAAACAAAATGACGGAAACAGTCTTCCTATAAAACTAAACATTAATAATAAAACTATTACAAATAAATCTTTAACTGCTGAAACACTTAATCGATATTTTGTCAGTGTTGGTTCCACTTTAGCGTCGAAAATAAAATTTACTGAAGTAAACTTTGAGTCATATCTTACTCCTAATAAGACCTCTAAGATGGATAATTATAAAATTACTGAAAAGGAACTCTTAGATTCAATATACTTTTTAAAACTAAACAAAAGTGTGGGGTTTGATAATATTAGTTGTAACGTAACTAAAAAATCAATAAAGTACTTAACAATCCCTCTTATACATATTTTTAATCTCTCTTTAAAACTAGGCATTTATCCAGAGAAACTAAAAATTGCGAGGGTCATACCTATTTTCAAGTCAGGAGAATTATTTAATCCTAAAAATGACAGACCAATTTTAATTCTTCCTTGCTTCTCCAAAATCTTAGAGCGAATTATGTTTAACCGAATTTTGACTTTTCTAAATATAAATAATATTCTATATAACAAACAATTTGGATTTCAACCAAGGTATTCAACTGACCATGCCATTATTAATATTTAAAGCATTTGATGAAAGTAAGTTTACCCTAGAAGAGTTTATAGGTCTTAGCCTTTGATACAGTAGACCATAGCATTCATGTAAAAAAGCTCAAAAGTTATGGTATTAAAAGTACATATTTAGAATGGCTCAAAAGTTTTCTAAACAATAGAAAACAATAACTAGCACACGAAGAAATAAAAACTGAATACTTGACTATTACTTGCGGTGTTTCCCAAGGCTCAATTCTGGGTCCACTTTTATTTCTTATTTATGTAAACAATTTCCATAAGTTTTCAAACATTTTAAACTCAGTTTTATTTGCAGAGGATTCAATTTTATTCTATTCTAATGGAGATATAAACTTCTTCTTTAAAATAGTAAACAAGGAATTTTTAAATCTAGCGGAATTGTTTAAGGCAAACAAATTGTCCTTAAATTTAAGTAAAACTAAATATACTTTTTTTCATAGACTTCACGATAAAGAAAATACTCTATTAAAACTTCCTGATCTGTACATTGGCAACTATAAAATAGTTAGAGAGTCATCATTAAAGTTTTTAAGAGTGACACTTGACGAAGTCATGACATGGAGAAAACACATAAGAACAATTTAAAATAAAACTTTGAAAAATATTGGCATACTAAACAAAGCTAAGCAAATCTTAAATCAAAACTGCTTAAAAATCCTATATTTCTTCCTCATACATTGTTATATAAACTATGCAAATATTGCATGGTGCAGCTCTAATGTAAGTAAAGTTAAAAAATTGCTTAGTAGACAAAAACACGCTTTCAGGATTATTTCAAATGCAGGTCGATTCGCATATTTTAAAGAACTATTCAAAAATCATCACATACTCAATGTTCTTTAGTTAAACCTTTATCAATTTCTTATATTTATGTACAAACTACATAATAAATTAAATCCTATAATTTTTTATACATTTTTCATTAAAATTAATCACGTGTACCGTACAAGATTTTCAAATTACAATTACGAGCAACCTAAAATACACTATTTGGCTACTAAATTTTCTATTGCCATCAGAGGTTCTAATTTAAGGAACAATTTATTAAATAACCAGCTGAAAAATTGTTTTTCACTTTCTCTATTTAAACAAAAAGTCAAATAAAAACTTCTTAACGATGTTAATGAATTAAATTCTTTTTAAGATTTTTTTATCTTCTTTTTTAACAACTACCTTATTAACTAGTCTAACCAATTTAAATTTTCATTAATTATCCTATTAACTTATCTTCGGTGTGATTTTTTTTTTTGGTGTGATTATTTACTTTGGTGATTTTTTTCTTTGGTGATTGTTTTCTTTGGTGATTCTTTGATTTTTTCTTTGGTGTGATTTTTTGTGTTTTTTTTTTTTTTTGTTTTTTTTTTTTTTGTTTACGATTTTCTTTTGATTATAGATTAGTAACTGATCTTAACATATTTGTATATAATTTTTAAATGCTACAAAGTAATTTTATGATTTATGTTTACATTTTAATGGTTATACACGCTTGCTGATGAAAAGACTTGGGGTATAGTGATAAGGCAAATATTGTCTTCTTTTAGCCCCGGTCATGTAGATTTTATTTATATAACACGGCGTTGTATTCTTTTTTTTTTAATGACAAATAAATTGAAAAAAAAAAAAAAAAAGAATCAAGATCGAGATTTATACATTGGATCAACGTTGGGTTTAGATTGTAAACTTTTTGCGATGCTTTTACATACATTGAACCAATGTAAATTTGCCAGATATTTTTAGTTTCGTCAGTAATAATTTTTTTATTAACCAAATGACATTCGATTAACATTGGTTTTGCGTTGGAAAAAAGACCCAATGTTTGCGATGGCTTTACATATGTTAGCCCAATGTAAGTGTGCTAGTTGGGTATAAGTATTTACATGTTTGTATGTTTATATGTTTGAGAATAATTATATATGTATTTATAGGTAAATACATATATAAGCATTGTTAAGCAATTATTTTTTATTTAAAACCTGTTTAGGCAGTATTTGATGACAAGATTTTATGGTTTTTTGTAAGTATCTGCGTTTTTTGTTTTTTTAGACAATTAGAAATTTTAACTAATGAATTAATTACGCATTTTATTACGTCTTTTGATGATTTTTACTGTTTTCGTCATTTATCTATGTTATGTTTGCGTTACGTAATACACACTCATGTTAACAAATATTTTAATGTATTTTTGTTATAACCAAAAAAAAAAAAAATTTATGAAATTTTAAATAATTTTTAATTTAACTTATGACCTAAAAATCTTGCAGCAGATATATTTTCTAGTTTTTTCGAAACTTAGAGATAAAAACTTTTTTAAATGTTTTTATCTCTAACTTTCCAATCAAAAATTATGAACCAATTTTTTGAAAACAACTGGTTGTTACAAGTGAATTTAAAATCTCGTAAAATAAGAATCACAAGCATGAATTTGTCCTTTTTGAGCACAACCAACTAAGCAAGGTATTCAAATCTTTCTTTACTATTAAACCTTAAAATCGAGTATTCTCTTCAATATCAAATAGAAAGTTATTCTTCACCTAATATCTAACAATCTTCTCACCAAATGTTATCATGGACTTTTCAGCAAAAAATTTTGCGTTACAAATAGTCTACACTGCCTCTGGTTGCTTACTAGTAACATTTGTAAAAACATCAACAGTTTTTAGAACAACTTCAACAAAATAACATCAATGTTATAAGATATATCTATAAGAACTTTAAAAAAGTATCAATTAATTGAAACCAATAATTTAATTCTGATCTATTTATGGCATGTTTTTCTCTACATAGTGTAAAATAACAGCAAAAATATTAAATGAATATGTAATTAAGTTATAATAATATAAAAATAAATAAAACTATATACCTTCACAATGACCAGATGTAATATTAAACTTATAACCAGTTGCGCAGCCTTAAAATAAAAAAAATTGCATACTGATAAACTTATCTGCAAAGTAAAGAAACAAGTTTGTGGTATTTTGCTTGATGGAAAAACATGAATACTAAATAAGCGACCGCGAAAAAAATAATGAGTTTTGAGTGAAAGCGATAATGTTTTTTGACTCAAATATTTTATAAAAAGTTGATTACTAAAAAAACTTTTCGCTAGCTTGGTTTAAAATAAAACATGTTTTTTTTTCATTAAATTGTGGAATTAGAAACAAGATTGAGGAGATCGTGTTTTAAAGTAAAATAAGTATTACTTATTAATAATTATTTCAAAATTATAGTTAAAATTTCTCGCGTTACAAACAGGCTTGTTAGGCCGAGAAGTGTTTTGGCTCCGCCTCCTAAGAAATGTCCGGCTCCGGCTACCAGACTTTATAAACAAAAGTTGCTAAATGTCTATTCAAATCTAAAGTAATTACAACAATTAATTTTTATATCAACTTTCATGTTTTTAAGGTGAGTATATTACTCTCACTACTACCGGATTATAAATATAAAAGTAGTGAGAGTAATATACTCACCTTAAAAACATGAAAGTTGATATAAAAATTAATTGTTGTAATTACTTTAGATTTTTATATATATAATCCGGTAGTAGATCTCTACTACCGGATTATATATATAAAAAAAAATATTTAGGGTAAATGTACACTTACTTCTATGTACTATTAACCCAAAACTAGGGTTTATAGTTCTAAATCAAAGTATAAATTTCAAGATATGAATAACCTTTGATCATTAAATAGAGCATCCAATATATAACAGCATGATATCAATATAAAAATTTAATATAAATTATATATGAAACTTTGTTAGAATGTTTCCATATATAACTTACTTGATTTTTGTTTTTTTTAAATAAAACATAATAGGAAATGCTAATAAAGCATAGTATTTTGTTAAATTCAAAGTTGTTATTATATACATCATGTAGTACGTTTTTGCAAGACTGTTTTTTTTAATAAAGCAATTAAAAATTGAAAATCTAAAAAGAAGTTTTTCTTTAATTCAAGAATAGTTGTTAACTGTAAAAAAAAAAAAAAATAAAAAAACATTCTATTTCACAAAAAAAATACGAGAGCCAATGGTCTTCTTAGTTTTTGCGGGTCTGGCTCCGAATTTTTACCAAAAAGCAGCAGCTCCCCGGCTCAGTCTTCGCTCTACAAGCCTGATTACAAACCATAAACCAGAACAAAATAAGAATATTGACAAAAAAGCTCTACATTTTATTCTGAACACCTTATGATTTGAAAAAAATATATATCAAAATCACAATATCCAAAAAAAACACAATTACAGCATTTGTGAAAAACATTAATCAACTAAGTATTGTTTACAAATTTTCAGATTTAAAATTTGTAAACACCAAGCTGTCATAGAAGAGAAATCAGATTCAAGATTAGACCGGAAATTTAGCTGTTTCATCAACTATATTGTCCGATATTGTTTAAAGTACATTGTTGTGTCATCAGCAACAACTGAAAACCAAGTATGAAACCTGAAGTAAATGGAGAGTGTTGTCCATTAACGACGAAATGCAGACAAAAGTTAGCAGAAGAAAATGAGGATTGAAATTAATATTGATCATGCATTACTTGTCAGAGTTTTATTTTTTTGACACAGATTGATGTCTTGGAAGTTAATAAAAGATTTATAGGGTTTTGTTTTAGTTAAGTAATACTTAGATGGGTCAAACTTCAAAATTTTCTTTAATTAAAACCACAGACTCTATTTTCCAGCGTGAAGGAAAATAAGATAAACTTAAGAATTAGATAAACAATTTATATTGATTAAAGAGTTCTAGAAAACACTTTTATATTACTGAAATAGGAATGCTGTTGGGACCACAAAAAGTAAGGGAGTATAAGTAAAAACGCCTTAACCAGCAGAAACTCAAGTCCTTTATATGTCTAAGAGTTGATAAATACATTTCTTTGGCATGACAAGAGGAATTTGGTTAACAGATTCAGGAGAATAATTAGAGAAAACCTTTATTGAAAATAGTTTTGCTATATTCTCATAATAAGTATTAAAATTAGATCCATTTTTGAACTGGTAATGTTCTTATTTTTATAAAAATCTCTGAAACCTAGTTTCTAAAAAAAAAAAAAAAAAACAGTTTAATAATCAGAGAATTATTGTTTAGAAATATAGAGCGTTCAAAATAAAAAAATCAATCAACAAATTTATGATATATATTAAAAAAATTAAATAGGTCAATTAATTGTGGCTGGATAATACAGTTGGGTAAAGTGTCAAACGAAAATTTAAAAAACCCGGAATTTTGTACGATACGAATTCAAACCCTGCCAACTTAGCTCTTGAGTAGTACTTCGGTACACAAAATTGTTGGTCAATAAGGGACGCTACTTTGGATTAGTCTTAATAGCTATTTGTGGCTGTTCCTATGCTAAGCCAACAATATCTACGGATATAAGAACATTGTATAGAAAAATTATAGCATAAAAATTAAAAAAAAAAAAAAAAAAAAAAAAAAAAGATGTATTAGTTTATTCCAAATAATTGATGTATATATAAATGTAAGTAAAAGTGTTTTACAAATAATCAGTATTGCAAACCAAAGAATTAAAAACGAGATTTAAAAGTCATGAATAATAATTTTCAAAGATCAAGCAGCCATATTGATTTTAAATTATATTTACCAACATAGGTTTATTGTAGAAATATGGCAAAATACATCACAAACTGCAATAACAAACTAGGCACTTTTAACGTGTTTTAAGTAAAAATTTGCATAATAAAATTAAAAAAAAAAAGATTTTACAAAAATCATTAAACAACAAAATTAACTAGATATAATGAGTAAAAAATAAAGTAAAAAACTCTTACCGTCGCAACCATTTTTAAGTTGATTTGAAGTCAAGTTATCTGGACATACTTTGAGGTCTTAACAAATAAAGGTAATTATTGGAAAAATGTTATTATAAAAAGCAAACTTAAAATATATATATATATATATATATATATATATATATATATATATATATATATATATATATATATATATATATATATATATATATATATATATATATATATATATTGATGAAATCTTTGAAAATATAAACCTGAAAATAAGCAAATTATTGTATATTGAATACTTATTCAATAACTGTACAACAATTATACATCAGAACAAACAAACTTAAAATATAATACCTTGTTTCAAAGCAAATACTAATCTACTTAAGTGATTAATAAAAATTTTGTTGATACAATTTTATCAATATAGTTTTTTTAAAGAAAATGTTTAAAAAACTATATTGATAAAACTGTATCAACGAAAAAATTTTCCATTTTGTTTAAATCGTGACTTGTTAACTTAAACTTCAATTGCAAAGTTTTTCGCAGATATAAAAGTACATTTGATATCTTCTAAAACTTTCACTACCTTTTCCTCACAAATACTGAATTATGTAGCGTATTTATATGCATAAGAATATAAAAGTAGTTATGTCACACCCAAACTTTGTGAATGTATTAATAGCCTTCGGATGATCTTTATGGGCATTCTCCATTTCTTTAATGTTTTCTGAGTTAAACATCGGTTTGAAAATAAGATATATGCGCAATTTTTAGCAACAAGCTTAACTGCCATCCCAAGTTGTTGTCAGTCTGAAGGAACTAGTATACAAGTAAGTAATAAATAAATTGCCCGTTAGTTCTGTTTAGCTTGCCTAATACTTGGTTAACTTTTGAAAGTAACCTTGAAAAATTTCTATTCATTTAAAATATTTTTTTCTAACTTAATGATATGCATCAAAAACTACATGGTATCTCTCTATTTAGTTCATTTGTATGCCACTATTCAGAAAGCCTGTTAGGTCGCAAAATTCCATGCAATTTTAGATTGTTAGTTGTAAAATAAATATACAAGTTACTTTTCTCTAATTGCCTTATTCTATTTATCTAGTTTATTTAGTGGTAACAAAAATTTGTTTAATATATATGATATACGACTACTAGAACTCACTTCTAGCTTATGTTATATCAGTTTAAATGACTTTCAACTAAAATCTTTCAACTAAATTACTCATACTAATAAGACATGATACTACGGTCTGCACATTTACGTACCCAACAATGAGTATATACATCACATGCACATCTATAACTTACATCTAGAACTTAAAACAGCTCACATTTCTCACTGATTCTCGTTATACTGCAACAAATCACTGCACTTACTGTTACTTATGCCAAAAGTTTACCTACATCTATTGGGGTTCAGTACAACTAGTATGCAAGTTGTACTGAACCCCCACTAAGTGTCCTCTGTCTATGAAGGAATCTTTGGCAATTATATCTCATAAGATACTATTAGAAAAGATAAAAGAAACGGATACTCTAACAAAAAGGTACCCTGGTACTTTTTTAATAACTTTTCAGTACCACAACAACTAATGTCTCTTACTTTCCTCGACTATTGTTTATTGTTCTTGTATATTTTCACCACGTTTTACTTAGATTACTTTTTAGTTTTTTTCTACTTAGAGGCTATTTGTTTTCAACTAATTATGCATCTCTAAGGCGTTCATTGCTATTTTAGTGCAGTTTCACTAAAAGGCATTACATTTAGATACAGTATTATTAAAGTTTAATGATAAATAATGATATTTACTACACATTGCATCAATAAAATAAAATGACAGATCAGTTGGATGTTATTAATTTCAAAATAATCATCCAAACATAACTTTATTGTTTGATCTATTATATGGTTTCGACAACCAACATAGCCAGGTTTCTCAAAACCAACACTTTTAAAATGTGTGATTAATCTCTTTATCGCACCATATAAATGCCAGGATATATAATTGTAGCGTTTCTCATTTTTATAGGTCAAGATAAATTATATTCATTCAAGTGTTTTTGAAGTTCTTAAAAAGTTTTTTACTTTACATTCTTTAATACATTTGGCTTCAGCCTAATCTCTCTTTCATTGTTCTTTGTCACAAAAACTTAATGTTCCACCCCAGTTACCTTTTTACAATCAAAATGCAAACACCAATTCTCAACCTTTTATTCTTTTCTCAATTTATCTTGTAATTTTTAACTTTTTTGATGACTCTGATATGGATTGCTAGTTAAGTTGGTGCAGAAAGATTCACACAACTCATCTAAAATTGTTAACACACCGTGGCAGTTTTGGTATACTCAACTTTCCTCGATTAACCAATTTAACAGGTTTGACTGTTCTTTGCTTAATTTTTTGTTTAATCATATTTATTAAAAGTTTATTATCATTACTCTTTCGTGTTCTTCTCTGTATTTATTCAGAATTTAAGTTAATGGAATTCAAACGTTTTCAATTTTACTTTTTTTAAGAAATGTACTTTTTTAAGGGTCATCAAGACTTTTGTAGCTTATCTTACTCTACCAGATGTCTCTAATAACTTTAAATAAAGATTTTTGTTTTCAGAATGCAACCAAAGTCCATCTTTTTACGTCATCGTATTTTATTATAATTAATAAACTATCGAAGTCTAAGTATTTTTTTTTATTATTATTCAATTTTTTTATCCTTGATACTGATATTTTTATCCTTGAAACTGATATTTTTCTATTGTTGGATCCTGATATTTTTGTATTTTTTGACCCCATAATTCTAATAATAAATAGTAAATTTTCTTTATTTGTGTTTTCACATTTTTACAGTTTGATGTCAAACTGATAAATTGGTTTCCTTTTTGCCTATTTTTGTCAGTTTACATATTTTTCCTAATCATTTTTGAGATTCATTCAAACAAAATATATTATTTTTTAGATAATTATTCAAATTCTTTTTCCTTGGTTGCAACTTCTTGGTTGCAGTAGAACTTTTGTTTGAAATTTTAATTGTTGTGTACTAACTGAACTTGTAATGCTTTATTAAATTTATTTTACGATTAGATATTAAAAAAATAACATTTTTTTAACAAATTTACAGCCAAAGCTATTGCAACTGTATTAGTTAACATAAATATAAGTTTAAAATTGATACTCGATAGAACAAACGTTTAACAAACTTAACGTTGTATATATCATTTTTTTTTTTGTAATCTTATGAACCATAATCAATTGACTTTTTAAGCGTAGGTACATTTAAATTGTTGTTATTTTTTCACAATATAAAAGCTCATTAAAAAAATAAAATGATTATTTGAAAGTCTTAAAACTATTTTTTATTTTAAACCTCTAATGTTTATGCATCTATGTCTTTTTATGTGCTTAACTAAAAGCAAAGATACTAAAAGTAAAAATAACTATAGAGTTTATAAATTTTATGTTTATATTGTATTACGGACTTGTTTTATTGTATCCTAGATAAAAGATAAACTTTTATTATTTTAAATTATAATAAGTTGTATACTCTTACATTTTTAATCAGAATAAACCTTATCTGTTTTACTAATAACTTAACTATTTACTATAATAAAAATACAAACCAGAAAAAAAAATGATATTAAATTTAGAAATTAGTGATAAGAGATCACCATTTGCATACTGCTAGTTTAAATAGTACAACACTATTGAAAATATTGCCTGTTGTGAATAAACAGCAAGCATCTTAAGTTGTAAAGGCATGTTGTAGATGTTGTTTATATTATCAATGAATGCGAAAGTTTTCATTAACTGAAAATATGAGAGTACATGATGGAAAAGTTTGATGGCAAATAATGTTTTTCTTTCAAATGTTTTTAATTAAGAGTCTTTAAAGTTTTCTTTTCAAAAATTCATAGCTCGCTTGCACAAGTTGTATTTATGTTATGACTTTAGTTAATAATTATCTTTTTGATTTATCATTTATACTTTTTTTATATTTTAACACTTTTCTATTGCATTTTTTAAATAAATTAGTAAGAAACTCATAAACTTCATTATTTTTGTTGAAATTGTTGATGAAATTGTTGCGAATTGCCTTTTTCCATCTTCAGTAAAACTGAGAAAACCTGCAGTAGTTCATCATGCTAAGTTCCTGTTCAATAGATTGTATTATCTAAAGCTACAACTTCTTTCCAACCAACTCGAGTTTGTAAATCAGAACAATATACTTAAAAATGTAATTAAGCTCATAAATAAATTTAAATTTTGCTTTTATGCATAATGGTATTTACAAGCAAATGATGCTATAATAATCAAAATTTTTCTGCCAAACCAGATGCTGTTGGTGCTGTTTTAAACCTTTTATTCAAACATAGTATGTATTTAGATTTAACAATGATTCCTTTGCCATAATAGATAGCAAAGTGTCATTTATAGAGAAAGCAAACTTAGCAATAGTTGTTCTAACTTATAAAAGATTAATTGACATGAAATTGAAATTAAACACAACTGAATTAATTTTTTGAAATATAAACCAACAACAGTTTTGTCAAACATTGTAAATTTTTTAATGAAAAGAACAAATAAATAACATTTTACTCAAAAATCATTTTAACATGTATATTTACTTAAATAATTTCTCAAAAAAACCAAACATCCTGAAAATGAAAATTACAAATTTTTTTTATTAAAATATCTTCCTAGACCAGTTAAACCAGCTGTTTTTATGGTATTTTAGATTAAATGTATTATATATGTATGTATGTATGTATGTATGTATGTATGTATGTATGTATGTATGTATGTATGTATGTATGTATGTATGTATGTATGTATGTATGTATGTATGTATGTATGTATGTATGTATGTATGTATGTATGTATGTATGTATGTATGTATGTATGTATGTATGTATGTATGTATATATGTATGTATGTATGTATGTATGTATGTATGTATGTATGTATGGATGCATGTATGTATATATGTATGTATGTATGTATGTATGTATGTATGTATGTATGTATGTATGTATGTATGTATGTATGTATGTATGTATGTATGTATGTATGTATGTATATATGTATGTATGCATGTGTCTTTGTACGTGTATATTTATATATGTAAGTATATATAAATATATATATATATATATATATATATATATATATATATATATATATATATATATATATATATATATATATATATATCAAGAAATAATAACATATTTACCATCTAATAAGACGTTAAAGGAAGCCAAATATATTATGAAGTTTAGGTTGTTGTTAGTTTTTGCGCCAGGATTTTGAAACTAAATTATAAATAAAAAGAGACAAATACTTTTTTGAAATTAAAATAAAAAGATTTAAAAGTTTATTATTAAGGAAAAGTTTAAAATAGGTTTTAATTCGCTTTAAGATATAGATTTATTTGTTAACAGAAAAAAAAAATTTGGTAATATTATACAAATTAAAATATTAATTAATCAATTTATTTATTACTTCCTTTTATATGCTATAAAAAAAATATTTTTTACTTTTGTTTTTACTATAACATTTTTTATAGAATTGGAAAGTTTTTATTACATTTTTAATATTGTTTTATCATTAGCTGAAATTGTTATTATAATCATTTTTTGTAACATTATTTTATTGATGGTATTTTTAAAATTATTATTATCACTACTATTATTATTATTAATGTTATTATTGTAAATATTATTTTTGTTTTTATTATTATTATTATTATTTGATAATTTAATTGGTAATAAACTATTTTCATTATTTATTAGTTCTATTTTAAAAAAAATTGTTGTGTTTTTTTTATATATTTTTTATGTTACTTTTCTTTCCTTTGTTTCTTTTATTTTTTGTTAACTCATTGATTTTATTTTAAATTCTGATAATTATAAATTATTTTTTTTTAAGGTGTCAAAAAATCAAAAGTTATCAAAAATCTATAATGCATTTACTATTTTTATTTCTATTAACTATATCTAAAACTTTTTTAAATAAACTCTAAGACATGAAAATAGTTATGTTATGTAAAATAATACACTGCTTTAAAAAATGTTTTTGTAATTTTTATTTATAAGTGTGTTGGAAGTAATTGCGTTAGTATAACTTTAAAACAATAATCATATAACTGTAAATTATATACTTTAACAAGTAACGACTGTTACTAGTTTAAGCATTTGGTGATAAACTTCTTTTTTCTGTTTAATTTTTGTAAAAATTATTGATGACAAGCTTCTTTTTTTTGTTGTTGCACGATTGTTGTACAACATTTTTACAACTATAAATAAAGCGAAACCAAGCTATAGCATATAAACAACATATTTTTGTTGAGCAGCCGTGGCGCAGTAATAGCGCACTTGCCTCAGAAACGTAAGATCCGTGGTTCAAACCCCACCTCTGGGCAAGTTTTACGACATCGGTTGAGAAGGAGGCGTAAACTTCCTATTAAATGCTCTTCCGCGGTATTCTGTGATAAGACCGTAAGGACTTCTTGGGGCACCTTAATCAACTTAAAAAAAAAAAAAAAAAAAAAAATTTCGGTAGTTGTCAGTAAATTAAGTTTTAACACTGACAGTAATATAATTACACTTAGTTTTAATTACTAACACTTGCAGTAACTTAATTACCAACAAGAATTAGTAGTTCACGCGGCATATATATTATAACATTAATTTTTTAAATGTAAAATATTCGTTATAAGAATTATTTAGATGTAGTTTTATTAAACTCAGACATTCATAGTTTTCTCCAAAAAAACAATCTTAGTATTTCAAAACAAAATATTACTGAAGATTTATTGAAATTAATTCAGCAAAAATTTGCTGAATATTAAGTTGTCAATTTTAGACATGCTGTTCAACAATTTGTTTACTTGTATAAAAAAAAGTAAAAAACAGTGTGTATCTTGCTTAATTGAATCCCATTCATCCAGTGAATTATTTTTCGTTGCTAATAAAAAATTTAGAGATGAATATATTGTTAGTGCTGCCATGAACGTTTTTAATATTTTAAATACAAATAAAGCAACTAAATAAACTGGCGTTAATAATTGATGCCAGTCTGACAAAAGCTTCTAATCAATTGATTAAAAGCGGAGCTTTGGAGAAAGAACAAAACCTTTACCCCGCTTACAATAATGTCAGAGATGAAAAATTAAAATTCTATCCTTCAAATATAACAGTAGAGGACTTCAGTTCCTTTAAAAGATATAATGATTCATACTTTTCAAAGAATCTGTACAGTTCAGGAACCGGTGCTGAGGCACTTGAAAATGAACGACAAAGCTATTAAAACAATGACACTCACATGTAAGGCTGGTTTTGGTGGTGCTACTGGCTAAGGGATTTATAAATAAGTTTTTTTTCGACATGAACAGAGATTTAAAGTGTAAAGAGTCATATTTTATTACTTGTCTAGTTCTATTGGATTTAACTGGGCTTTGCAACAGTAATGAATAGGTGCCTAATTAGAGAAATCAACAGTCGTTATCCATGCTTACAAAACGGAATCCAAAGAATCTGTGATCGAAGAAGATCAGTACATTAAATGTGATTTAGAAAGCTTGGGTATGGATTTATCAGACGTTTGCGGTTTTTCTATTGAAGTGAATTGTATTATTGAACTAAAAATGATTAATGGGCAGGTTCAAACGATATTATCGGAGAATATACCAACTCATACCAATGCTGTTCAGTGTGTTGTGTCTCTCCAAAAAATGTGAATAGTCTTAATACCATTATCATAGATTATACTAACAGAGAGTTCAAATATGTTCTTTCTATTCTTCAAGCATGGACTCAACTTTTTAAGATGGTTTTGCACATTGCATATAAAAAAGAAGCAACAAAAGTGGCAAGCAAGATCTAACGAACACAAAGAAAAGGCATCTATATCTAAACAAAAGATTCTGACTGACTTTATGAACAAAATAGGACTTGTTGTTGATTTCCTAAAAAGTGGTGGTTCTGGAACAAGCAATGATGGCAGTACCTTAAGGCGTGTCATTTCAGCATATGAACAAATAGCTGAAATTCTGGGTATTGATCAAATTATATTTAGATTTTACATTATCTTGGTAACACTCTCTTCAGGATATGAAATATCAGCTTAAAATTCAAGGATTATTGTTTTAACACTGTTAGACTATATGTTTTCCTTTATCCATGGTCTTACATGGCTCAATCAGTTCACAAAATATTGATACATGGACATGACATAATTAAAAATCTTAAATTACCCTTTGGAATTATGTCTGAGGAAACTTAAAAAGATGGAAATAAAGATTTTAAATCTTTTCGCAAAAATTTTAGCCAAAAAGCATCCAAAAAAACAATAAATACTGATCATATCAATTGAATTCTAGTTTTCAGTAATCCTGTTATTTCATCACTGCGTATATCAACATCTCACGGAACAAATCATAAAGCATTTCCTTCAGATGTTTTACAATTACATAAACAATCTTTAAACGATGTAATTGCTTTATAATTTTTTGATGTAATTTAAAATTGACAATATGTTTCTTGCACTATTTTTTGTTTTTATTATTGCAAAAACTTTATTAACCTAAAAAATCAATTCTTATTTGATATAGGTGGGTCGAAAATCCGATAGAATATTCAATTATCAACTTACATCTTTGTAAGTAAGGAAAGTATCTGGTAACTAAGCAATATAGTATCCATAGCAACTAAATTTACTTTATAATAAGTGTAATGTCATATTATTACTCATGCCAAACTTAAGGAATATTGTACTCATAAAATATCTGTAGATATCAAAAATAGTTTTTTGCTAAGCAAAACAAAGGTATCGATAGCAACGAAATAAAAAGTATTTCCTTTTTAAAAAGCGCAGACATCATATTAGTACTCATGCTAATTTTAGTGAATATATCTCTAACATTAAATTAGCTAAGAATTTTGTACAGTAAAAGTGAATTCTGGTCCACTGTGCATTGTTTAAAAGCCAAGATTTGCGCGTTTGCAATTGTTATGAATAACAATAGCCAAACAATAGAAATTATTTGCGTCACGAGAAAATACTTTTATATGATTATAAATCAAAATTACATCTGTCTCATCTATCCATTTAAATAAAAAAGTTTTATCATGCAAAGTATTGTAATTAATATTTTTAACAAGTTTATTAAAAAATATTTTTTTCAATTATACAAGAGTAATCTATTCTATTAACCTTGCATAACTCCTGTATAACTATATAGCAAAAAAATTTTAAATCATATAATTCTTCTTGAACTCTACTTGTTAAAAAAATTCAAATACCAAAAAATATCATGACAAATTTGTGAGACAAAAAACGATTTGAATTCCGTTAAAAACTAAAAGTTTAAATCTTCAAGAAAATAGTAAATTTAAAGTGTAGGAATTAATGGTTGCCAACAATCTCTAGTTTAATCTTTAAATAATCTGTAACATGACCTACAGCACGAATGACCATACATAACACATATGACATACAACGCGTAGAAAATTCTATTTACTTTACAATATTCATATTAACTTATTATATATTACATTTTTACAAAAAAAGTTAGCAAACCAAAAATATCGGGTAAGTGTCGGTTTGTTTTGTAATATTGTTTCAAAAAATGACGCAAAGAATTCCATTCCGAATAAAATTTCAGAAATTGGCGGCGCCTTTGATCTATAACATTGCGTTAAACGTCCGTTTATTAAAAAATCTTAAATCAAACTTCAAACCAATTAACTATTTTCAGAAAAAATTTTCTCGAATTCAACTCTTAAATATAATGCCCACTCTGTTGTTACCATTCTAGTAAAAATAGTTTACTCATTATTAGATATTCAAAATTCTCTAGTTTCGATTGCTAAAGTCATTTCTCAATAATACTTCTCTACGGCTTGTGGTCAAGACAGTATTCCTGTCATAGTATTACAAAAGTGTTCTACAGAACTGTATTTATATCTCTCTAAACTATTTATTAACTGCTTGACTAAATCTTGTTTTCCTGCATGCTGGTAAATGCTATCTGCAGTTTGAATTTTGAAAAACACTAAAGAAGATTTTAAAGATCTTTAAAACTTTCACTCAGATAGTCAACTCTTTTAAGAGCTAAGTTTTTTAAGAATTTATTTAAGAAATTTCTGCGATCTCTTCCTGCGTCAAATAACTCACCCTCTGACAAACAATACGGATTTTGATTTACTTATTTTTCAGCTGAAATCTTAACTGTTGTAACTAAAAATTACTATTGTGCATTAGGTAGGGGGGGGGGAGAATGGGGGTGAGGCAAGAGCAATTGCTCTTGACA